TCGGGCACCGTCCGCGTGCTCCTCTGCTTCTCGGTCTTCGCGCGGCCCTCGTCCGTGCGGCAGGGCGCGGGCTACCGGCTGCTCGTCCAGAAGCTCCTTAGCCTGTGCGGCGGCCAGCTCGACGTGCACCGCGAATTCGTGGTGCAGCTCTTCGCGGAGGAGTGGGGCCAGTACGTGGACCTGCCCAAGGGCTTCGGGTGAGCGAGCAGCAAGGTGTGCCTCCTGCCGCCGCACATCCAGGTGGGTCCTGCGGAAGGGCCGCGCACCCTGCCGCCGCTTCCGGTCCTCGGGCGTCCCTTTCCCCGCCGCGCACCTCTGGTGCCCCGCGCGCCTTGTCTGGTTCAAAGGACTGCGCCGCTATCGTAAGCCTCGGGGACAGCACAGAGAATGTGCCTGTCCGAAGGTGGCGGTCGCCTGCTGTCCTGGGTCGAGGCGGGGGGCGTGGGTTTCCTAAACTGGCGCGGCGCGCGCGATCGCCCCCATGTGTGTGGTCCTCAGCCACCCGCATCCTCCTGGTGTGTGTGCCAGGAGCAAGTCACAGCCTGTGGTGATCAAAGGGCTGTGCTATATAGTAGCTGTGTTTTTATTTCGGGGTGGTGCGCGACTGGGGCAGAGAGATTGTGGGAGTATTGGCCTTAGGGTTTGTTCCCCGGAGTTGTGTTCACCACATGCGGAAACACAAATTTCTGGAGTCAGCCCATACCCCCTCCTCTTCCCTAGCTTTCAGTTTCTTTAACTTAAAGCAATCATTCATTTAGCCTCTTCCTAGTTAGTAACTGTCACTGAATCTGTTTGAGTACACACTCTCTGCCTACATTGAAAAAGTCACTTGACTTCAGTACTGCAAGACCTTCTTAAATATCAACTTTAGCTAGACCACGATTTCCTGGTCGTGCTGGCTGAGAAAGTTGTCATGTCTGAGGATTATTTTATGGCTTAACATTTTTTTTTTTTTAAAGAAGCCATGCTCACATACCTCTGCGGATTGGTCCCATAAAGACACATAAGCCATGCTTGAAACAAGAGCTGTCTTCAGCTACCTGAGCTGTCAGCAGAAACTCGGTCACTTTGACAGATATTTCAGAAAGGAAGACACTAAAAAGTGACTACAGCCTAATACTGGCAATGGGGGTCTTAAAGGTCAGTCCCCATAGAACCGCTAACCAATCATGGTGCAGACAGTGTAGCACAAGCAATCACTGTGTTTTACAAGGTCACTAGCAGTGGCCGTCAGAACAAGCATGAAAGCAAACTCAGACCTCTGTGTAAATGAAGAATATATTCTAGAATATATAGTATGAGAGCCAGGATCACAGAGTCTTAAGGCCTATAGCTGGAGAAATAACAAGTCACATTATTTAAGCAGTGACTGCATGTGGCCAAACTTATGCTCTTTGTTCCTGTCTCTGGGAGAAGAGGCCTACCATCCCAGCAGCATGGCCTCACTAATGGGCCACCTTGAGTCTTCCTAAGTGACAGGCATCTATTCAAAAAAAAAAAAGAACAGCTTCAAAACAAATAATACTATGAGTTCAAGTCTGTGGCTCATTTTCCGTTCTGCTAGATATTTTCAGTCAGCATAAAAAAAGAACATGAGTGCCATGGTCAGCTATAAGGGAGGACCTCCACATGCTTTGCTATCTCCGCCATTACAGAAGAACCTTAGTCAATTCCCCATGTGAGCTGCTCTTCTGCAAAATAAAAGAGCTCGATTATTAGGTAAGGAACATGAATTGGGTCTTATCCATGTTAGCATTTACTGTGCCAGGCACTTACAGCTGCCGCTCAGATGCCTATGGAATGATCTCTATAGTCTCATCTAGCCATAAAATATCCACATCTCTAGGATTTTATAGCTGGGTTCCAAAAATATGTAGTAAAATGATGGTGAAAAGAAATATCTTTCTTTTTCTTCTTAGAGTATATACACATGTATGTGTGCATATATACATATACATAAATATATATCTTTTCTCATAGATATAAATAGGTATCAGAATAGGTATATGGATATACACGTGTGTGTGGGGGGATGTATGTGTGTTTGTGAATTCCTCCACATTATCTTTTTAAGCTGAGGGAGAAGCCTGGCTGAAGAAATCAAAGTATTATAATTACTAAAATGAGATAATATAAAAGACAAATATTTTAAAATATATAATGTATTCTATAACAGATACATTATGTAACAGATACTTATGAATTCTTGGACTATTTAGTGAGAAAAATAACATGTTTAAAAGGATGAAAGACAATAGTGCTGTTATTCTAATTATTTTAAACTTCACAACAAAAAACTATATTTTATCTCCTGTACCAAGCAAAATTTTTCAAAAGTCACAAGTAACCTGAATTATAGAATACTTTTTGAGAATGTACATTTCACATATATACATATACAGTATTTATTTCTAGAATGTATAATTAAAAGGAGTTATCAGGCCCAGGCCTTGAATTTTTCAAAATAACAAATCCTGTTTTGGGGGAGAAAAACTTTACAGATGTGGGGGGTTGCTAATTTGGCATCACATCTTGTTAGGTACCAGCCCACGCCCCGCCTCCGCCGCTCCAGTCCCACAGGAAATCATCACAAAGAAGTCTACCTCCTCAGAGTAGTTCCAGACCTCCTCAATTAGTATTTGGAGTCTTGTCTTAATTAATAGATTCGTCAAAGGTGCGTCCAACTTCTTAGGTATTTTGGCAAAGACAATCTAAATAGACAAGGAAGGATGCAGAGAGGTGGCAGCCATGAAAACTCTTGAAGACAAAAAAATGAGTAGTGAATACCTAGAAACCACAATTCTCCAAAATCTCCAGATGGACAGCAGGGCAAATTCTGGGGTATCAGAGACCATTTACCTCTCTCTAGGCTCTCCAGGGGTTGACAGTAGACTCTCAAAGCCTTTGTCCTCCGAATACAAGACCTTTACTCGGGTTAAAGTACCTGCTTTGGAAGCTTCTGTCATGGGTGCTGGGGTGATAGGCAACACAATCAATTCCACAGCTGACTATAGCTGAAGAAAAAAAAAAAACAACTAGAGAATAATCCTCAGAAAATGATGTTGAATATTAAAATATCTTCTAAGCCCGAATCCCACATTTCAGTTTGGTCTTCCAAAGAAGTGGCTTATTAGTTTCTAACTTGCTTTGTTACAGATTAATGATTTGGAGATGTTAATGATTTGCCTCATTTCATGTAATTGAAATGAGTGAAATCGAGATTTGGCCTGAGATCTTAATGTCCACAGCCTGTGCTGCATAAATAGGGAGCCTCGTACCCCGGGAAGTCACGTCACACAGACCCGTTTTAAAGTGAGTCACTATTGGCGCAGGGGTTTACTATAGCTGTGGTGATAAGATTTCCTTGGAAACACTCCTAAGTGAAGTAATGATGCCCCATGTCCCCTTCTGGACTCTCTCCCAAGCAGATTGTGCCCATTCTGTGACTATAATAGGCTACCAAAATTTTGAAAATGTCACATTTACAATTCCAAACTTGAATCATTCCGAAAGATACACAGTTTACTCACTGTAGTAGTGCCCTAGGGGGCTGCAGTAACAAAGTATCACAAATTTAGTGGCTTACACCAGGGGCTGTGGACCGGTACTGGTTGGTGGCTTGTTAGGAACCGGGCCGCACAGCAGGAGGTGAGTGGCGGGCGAGGGAGAGAAACTTTATCTGTATCTACAGCCTTTCCCCAGCGCTAGCATCACCACCTCAGTTCCACCTCAGATCATCAGATTCTCATAGGAGCATCAGTCCCTGGTCCACAAAGGTTGGGGACCACTGGCTTACACAACAGAAATGTATTATCTCACAGTTCCGGAGGCCAGAGATCAGGGTTGGTTCCTTCAGTGGCTGTGAGGAAGACCTTTCCATGCCTCTCTCCTGGCTTTTGGTGATTTGCTGGTGATCTTTGGCATTGCTTGGCTGCTAGGCCCATCACCCTGATCTCTGCCTTTGTGCTGGCAAGGCCTTCTCTGTGTTCCAATTTCCCCTTTTTATAAGGATGCCAGTCATGTTGGATTACGCACCCACCTACTCCAGTATGACCTCACCTTAACCAATTATATTTTCAATGACTCTGTTTCCAAATAAAGTCACTTTCTGAGTTTGGAATAAACATATAAATTTAGGAGGACACAATTGAACATTACTTTTATGGAGAGAACAGAACTGGTGCACAGTGCATCATAAGCAAGGCCAACCACCCTGTGTGCACCTGTCCTGAATGACCAGGGGGACTGAGCAGGGGAGGAACAGAGTCCTCGCAGATGTAGCAGTCATTGTTAGAAAATGGTCACAGCTCATGTGGTGGTGAAGGAGGGCAAATACTGTCATGATAATGGTAATATTGGAACTTGGGGATGAAAAGTCTTTTGAATATGAAATCTAAGGTCAAATCCCAGCTGTGACAATTCTTAAGAAAGTGGACAAAAAATTTATACTTGAAATTGATCCCTTAAACTCTTGCTTGAGGAAGCCAGCCATTGGCTGTGATCAACTTTTTGTGTTGAAATATGTATGTTGAAATACTTATTCTTTATGTGTGTATATGTGTAGGGATCTATGTAGATATATGAAGGTATGTATATATATATACATGTATATATTTTTATATGTGAGTTCTTCATGCTTCTTGAATATGCATTGATCTGTATGTACCTGCTACACGTTTACTTGTGATGGCATTTGGTCAAGTCCACTTTTAAGTTGCTGTCTTGTAGTTGCAACATGTAAATATTTGACTATGAGTAGCATTTTTAGTTATCTACAAGGTTTTGGCTTAAGAGAGTCAAAAGTCAAACAAAGAAATCCCTGAATTGTAGAGTCAGCGAGTAATTTAACAAAAGCTTATTCATGTGGATTTGTGGGTTTTGGGGGTTGGGCATGGTTAAGAGTTTTTCAGGGTGTTTGGTTTGTTTGTGTGTTTGTTTTGTAGCCCCACAGCCTCCTCTTTTGGTTTGTAAGGAATGGAGGTTATCGGTAAAATAGCAACTTTTCCCCCAACTACCATAACATAGGGAGGGCCATTTTTTTAAAAAATGATCTTTTTATTTTAGAATAGTGTTAGATGTACAGCAAAGTTGAAAATATAGAGAGTTCCTGTATAGTGTACCTAGATCTCCCTCTTGTTAACACATTCCTATGGCATATTTGTCACAACTGAGGAACCACCACCATTAGTACAGTACTGTTAACTGAACTCCCCACTTTTTTCAAATTTCTCTAGTTTTCCCTGATGCCCCTTTTACGTCCCAGGATCCAATCCAGGATACTAACAGATTTAGTCGTCATGTCTCCTTAGGCTCCTCTGGGCCACGACAGTTTCTCATATTTTCATTGTTTTTGATGACTGTTTTGAGGAGTATTGGTCAGATGTTTTTGTAGAATATACCTCAATTTTGGCCTATCTGATGTTTTTCTCACACTTAGACTGAGGATGTGGGCTTTTGAGAGGAAGATCACGAAGGTCATCCTCATCACATTATATCCAGGCTATATCCTATCAACATGACGTCACTGATTACCTTAATTTTGGCCGAGGCAGTGTTTGCCAAGTTTTTCTAATGTAAAGTTATCCTCTTCCCTCTGTATTCTGAGGAAGCAAATACCAAATGCAGGCCAAATTCAAAGGGATGTAGGGAGTTCAACTCCAACTCCTCGAGAGAGAATATCTAGGCGTTTTGATTCACTAAGTTATTAACAATCATCTGTGCATAAAAAGGTGCCTTGCCACCTTATCTCTATGGTTTCTTTCTTCGTTTACTGAAGATTTATAGATGGCGAGTTGCTAGACTAGAAAGATTTTGCAGGGTGGTGAGGATTTTAGGTCTGCATTTTCTGACCTCCATCGGTGTCTAATATGGCATTCATCTAATGTGGCCCCCTTGCCCAGGACAGGAGAGCTAACAGCTGAAATGAGGTACAGGGAAGCAGCAGATAAGAGGAATCTCAGGAGAACCATACGTCTGAATATTCAGGGTTTCTTTCAGATATCTAAAATATTTTGAATATTTTGACCACTTTATGTTATAGTCCTAAAATATATGATTTAATATTTTTTAAATGAGTGCTAAAATGATGTTGCAATTTATAAGTGATATATAGCTGGTGACTCATTCACTAGTGGTCTAGATTGTAGACTGAGTTGAATTTTGATCTGCTTTTATTGTATTTTGAGTCTTTTCTATGTCGGCTATCATTTCTTGCTGCTATCAGTTTGCCTGTCTCCAGCAGTTTCCTTTCTGATTTGCTGTTTATAACCTTCGGTGAATTTAGAATCCAGACAACCAGATTTGTTAGGAATACAGTGCTAGTCAGTACAGTCTGAGATTAGATCTGTGAACTCGAGATCTGAGCAAATATAAGTTGTAAGTATGTTAGTGCATGGCTAACCAACACGCTTATACAGCAACCAGGAGTTTTATTTTGCATGCTTGCTAGTTTTCACCTGCTGTAGAATGGTGAGATGGCTGAGGTGCTTTACTATAATTTAAAACAGGCCAGTTGCAGATAAACTGCTTTTCACAGTGTGCCTTAAATATATTGTGAATGACTAGGGACCTACGGTTCAAATCTATTGATTGATTGATTCATTGATTGATTGATTCATGGGCGAGGCAACCCTTGGTTGACCTCACAGATTGCAAGGACCTTGTCAGCTTACAATCCCTTATTTTTTATTTTTTTTTACACCTACAGCACCTGGTCTTCTTAGGTGGTCTCCCATCCAAGTACTAACCAGGCCCGACCCTGCTTAGCTTCTGAGATCAGACGGGGTCGGGCTTGTTCAGGGTGGCATGGCCGTAGACTGGTTCAAATTTATAAAAAGAAAATCTATAGATTTTGAACCTTTGTAACCAAGATTTAATGTTTTCTGAGAATTTAAAGTACATAGACATAAATAATACCTTAAGTACCCATATACATATCATACTCACTGCTTTGGAGGTATAATACTTGCATTAAAAATTTAAGCCAAAGATGGAATATGTAATTTAAATTTAAGCCAAAGATGGGATATGTAATTTAAGATACTTGAATATTCATTTTAATCGTACGTTATTGGCAAAGTAGGAAAACCCTGTACATAGTGTTAGAATTACAGATGGCACTCATTCTGACATGAACTTGGTGTTGGGTTTCACATACTGGGTCAATACACGTCTGTAGAGTTAGTGCCAGAGGGAAATTAAAGTGCCAGAGTCGCTCGGACCAGAACATAGATAATTAAAGTGCAAATTGATTAGAACAGTCATTCTATTAAGTATAAAAAATTCCTTTGAATGATTTACTGAATTCCTGTAGTAACTGTTTCCTGAGAGTATGCTGTGAGCAGAAGGACTAAGGCAGAGTCTAGGGCCAAGCTGGTGGCGAAGCCACTGCCATGTAATAGGGACACAGGTTCCTCTAGAAAATTATTAGTAACTATCATCTGTGGGTGGTTTCAGAGAGCGCAAAACAGGATAAGTAGAGAGGATGTTTCAGGAGTGGCTAGTAAGAGTAGTGGTATGGATTCCTTCAGGACTAGACTGAGTCTTTTACAGAACTTCCTGTAATTTGGGAAGGTAGAGAGGCACCGTGGACTTTGAAGAATCCGGTGATATTAAATTCTTGTATTCAACAGTGATTTTCACTTTTTGGAAGATCCATATCGGGCCCAACTTGTTAAGAGTAGATCAGCTACAGCAATTCATGTAAATCTTGGCAATCTCATACCCAGTTTTCATCTTAATTCATTGACTTTCTTGATTGTGAAAAATATGTTTAGGAATGCAGAATGTCTGTTTAATAGTGGTGATGTGATTGGCGTCATTTCATCGCATTTTTTTTTTTTGAACTCTAAGAAGTTATTTTGAGAATAACATTTTAATATTTCTGTCTTGATGACAGCAGAAATCCTGTGTTTGTTTCTGTTTGCTTTTTTAGTTTTATGTTCCATGGTCTCTACTACCTGTATTTTACCTGTATTTGCTAGCAATGCCATCATCATATTTAAGTTTTTACTATTGTAACATTTTTTTTTGTAAAAGTAATACAGATTTTTCAATAGCATTTGGGAAAAGTTTTTAAATAGCACTTAAAAAATATAAGAAAGGTATAAAGAAAAATGTTACCAACACTCCTGTCTATATAACTACTTGTTATTATTTTCATATACTTGTTTTTACTTTTTATTCATATTATTACATTATGGAAATATAATTGAATTGTGCTGTTTTAAAAATTAACATTAGATTATGAGTATTTCTTCTTAGATGATATAAATTCTTTGAAAACTTATATACATATGTTATTTTAATGGCTAAAAATGTTTTGTCATGTGAATGGTAAAATTTGTAAAGTCATTTCTATATTTTTGGTCCTTGTTTTTTTGCTAATTTTCATTATGTAAAGTAGTTCAGTAAACGTCTTCGTGGATAATCTTTTTTTTCTGTAATTTAGATTATTTCTTTTGGGTAGTAGTTGTAGAAACTGACTCATTCGGTCAAATAGTAGGAACATTTTTCTTCCCTTATTGACTTCCCTGAAAATAAATGTCATAATGAGTGCTAAATCATTCTTTTTCCTTTGTTTCCCAGCTCACTACCCTGGGAAATCTTATTCCTTCAAGCACTGTGTTTTTCTGGTGTGACATGCAGGAAAGGTTCAGACCAGCCATCAAGGCCATCAAGTATTTTGGGGATATTATTAATGTGGGACAAAGATTAGTATGTTATTTTTCATGATATATATCATATATACACAGATATGTACATTGCTAATTACTGTGTGTGTGTAGTTAATTTTTTCTAATTTACTGAAGCATGATAGACATTTATGTGTACACACATATGTGTATTGTTAATGGTCTTTGTGGTTTTTATTTTGTTTTTCAGTTACAAGGGGCCCGGATTTTAGGAATTCCGGTTATTGTAACAGAACAGCACCCTAAAGGTCTCGGAAGCACGGTTCAAGAAATTGATTTAACAGGTGTAAAACTGGTACTTGCAAAGACCAAGTCTTCAGTGATATTGCCAGAAGTAGAAGCGGCATTAGCAGAGATGCCTGGAGTCAGGAGTGTTGTTTGGAGTAGAAATAAGTACCTGTTATGTTTTGGACATAATATCATTTGTAGAAAACTTGATATTTCCAGAATGCAGTTTTGAATATAAAATACCGTGTAGGTGGTAATCATGATGAAAAACAGCCACTGTTTATTCAGTGTTGACTATTTGCATGGCACTGATCTAAACTCTTATATATGTTAATTCATTAAACTCTCAACAGCAGTCTTCTGGCTAAGTACTCTTGGTCTCCCTGTATGATAGATGAGGACATATCCAAACAATATAAGTATTTATTCATAGCTTTTAAACAACTATTGAACTAACATTTTAAAATGATTAAAAAAATGTAAAAACAATGAAATCCAAAACTATTGATTTGATTTACTCATGTTGTTTTGGTAGTAGGTTTTATAATAGTAGGTTTCAATAGTAGAAAGATGTAGTCTCGGGTTTAGATGTTCCTTAGATATCTCTGTGTTTTGACTTCAGTAGTGACAATGTAGATAAAGCCTATCTGCATAAATATGTCACACTAAACGCTGTTGCTGACTTGTGCACTTTTTTGCTCATTCATTATTATTAGAGCTCATGCCTAATAAAAATCATCTTTGAGCAGTCCTCCAGTGCTAATTTTAATGAGATGTCAGTCGGTAATTCTCCAAAGCTCTTCTGTCCTGTGAAGATAAGGTTGGCATCATGGCATTATTGAAATCTGCTTTCAGTGGTTATATAATCCAGTTATTGTTGGAGCATGTTTTCACTCTATATTCTCTGCTAATGAAATTTTACGAGTTACTACTTACAAAGATGGAATCCGTATAGTACATTTGCTGGTGATACATATTGCTTTTTTTTTTTTTTGCCTGTGTCACAAGTTGTTTTTGACCTGGGTGCCTTGGACCAACTCAGTTTTCCCAGTACTCTCTCAATCAGCAGTACTGCACACTCATTCTTTGTGTTAGGCACTTGGTGTGAATTCAGAAATAAACCCAGTGGCAAGTGGCATCCAAACTGAGTGGTGGTAGTCAGCTGTGTGAAGGCCAGAGGACACACTCAAACATAGAAATATAACTATGGGAGGTGAACACACAGTGTAAATATATATATATATATGCCTTACTGTTAAAAAAAAAAAAAGAAAACATTCAAATGTCATAAATATGTCGTTGTTAGTTTTTTGTTGTTGTTGTCTTCATGAGGTTAGTCTTATCAGAAACATATAAGCATATATTATTTAGCTTCCAAGACCCAGAAGGGACTAGTCCTGAGAAATTTTGAGGAAGGAAGGAAAGAATATGGTTTTAGGTGAATTTGGAAGAGCCTGGAGCAAACAAAGTTGCCTTGGGTTGAAGTGTTGGGGTTGAAGGGGAGAGAAAGAGTCATGTCAGGTGGTGATAGGGGACACGTTCTCCATTTTAGAGTTTTCATCTTAGTCTGAATTCATTATGTAGGTGTTTTAGTTTGTCCCTAAATTATGGAGAGAAATGTTAAGTTTTTTATTCTCTGACTGCGAAAGTTAAATAGCAATCTGCTATTTCCCCATCTTCTCTATTTCTGTAGAATACAACTCCTGAAGGTAATTCCTGAGCCCACTATATTGCCTGTTATGATTATCGTACTAATAAGATTTATAGTTACCACGTTATTGAAACTTCTGTGCTAGCGTCTGTGCTGTATGCTTTATTCAACAAAATATTTTGAGCACCTACTATCTGTCAGGCATTGTTTCTTTCAACCAATACTTGTAGAGTAAATGCAGAATAAAATAGAATAAAACCCTGTCTTGAACTTGATGTCCTTGTACTTCTGGGGAATCGGTAGTGTTGTTTGGAAGTGTAATGGGTTTGCATCCCCCCGCACCCCCCCGCCCTCTGAGGCTGTTGTGGTTTTGTGCTCTTGCGTTGTTCGGTTAGTGGGTCAGAGTAATCTTTCCTTTCCTTTAGCCTAGTTGGACTGAGTTTGCAAGTGGGTGGGAAGAACTTCGGAAACCTATCAGCCATGTACCTATGTGCATGAAACAGCTGGAATTTTAATTGTCCTTTTTTGGGCTAGGTAAGCAAGTTAGTTTGGGGCCAGTATTTTAGATGTCCTCGTAGCCCAGGGCGGTGGGCTGGAGCCCGCCGGTGTCTGGCAGAGCAGCTGCTGTTCTCTCTCTGCCCATGAACCCTTTCGGATTGGGCTGGGCAGGCACTGTGGGAAGGTCTTCAAGCCAGATCTAAAAACTTTGCATTTTGCTGAGCCATGACTTCCCCTAACACAGGCTCTTGGCTTGAGTATTTTTTAATTTAATCAATATTGGCCATAGCTCACTCAGTCTTGAAGCTAAGTCATATTGTATAGGTTTCAGTTTCCTGAAAGGTGTTTCTGTGCCTGGAGGGTGCCAGCCTATCCCTGCCATGGTGACCTGACCCTCAGCTTCACTGAAGATGGTTGGCCCGGAGTGGACCTGGGTCTGGTCAGCAGAGCACTAGGAAAAGCTGGCTTCTTCTTGAGTCATCAGATTTCTTCTCCAGACCTGGGAACAGATTTCTGTCTTTCCTGCCTCACTAAAGAACTAGAAAGATTAATGACAACTGACCTTTGTTGGCTCTTTGGAGTATATAAAGCACTTTTGCAGACATTGAAAGTGTGTAATTCAGATTCAGACTGAATCACCGGAAGTTCATTGATTCAACAATGAGCAGAAAGAAGGCAGGGCAGGGCAGGGCAGGGCAGCCAGCTGGTGAGGGCGAGAGCTGGTTTGAATGACTGGACGTTCACACAGCTGAGCTGCAGCTTGTCTTATGTTTATTCCCTGCCCTTCTGGCTGAAGCAAGCACACAGCCCTTCGAGATTTCTAAGGGTTTTGATATGAGAGTCAGGAGTTGACTGAAAAGCAAGGAGGAGTCTTTAAAAAAATCTGGGGTAACTCACAGTGTAGTATTTGTCCCGACATAAAGGGCACTAGCAGCCTCGCCTTTTCTTCCACTTTGCTACGTAACTTCCTGCTGTTTTTATCATTTCTTGAGAGTTCTGGTCAGCTGCTCTGCACACTCTCCTGTGCTGGTCGTTGAGGTCCAGGCTTGCTTTCTGATGAGTAGGCCACAGTTTGTACTCCCTTCTGTGTCCTTGGAGATAAAAAGGAAGAGTCTGCCAGGAACAAGGTTGGGCCTGCGGATCCAAAACCATCTGAAGGAGGATTTGCTTTCCTTCTACAGGGTTGTCCTGGCTATTCAAGTGACTCCTTTGTGACGAGACACTGATCTAGGTCTTGGTCTTTCCTCTGACTTGCCTAGGAATTTTTCTAACCACCTCATCTTCCATGGTTCTTACAGTGGATGTTTCTTGGGATTAACATTGGCCTTTTTATTTGCCTAGAGTTTCTGATAAATACATCCAAAGAATGAATCCAGAATACTCTTCTTGTCCTTCTCCTCCCCTCCTCCACTTTCTCCTCTTTGTCCTCTTCCCTCCCTCTTCCCCGCCCTCCCTCCTTCCTCCTCTCCCTCCTCCCTCCCCCTCCTTGAGATTTCAGTCCTTAGTTCTTTATTATGATTCCACGGAGCAATTTGGCAAAGACATTCTTCGACCTGTCTGCGAAACTTTATACAACCTTAAATTTTATACTCCGGTTTAATGATTCTAAAAATTTTGTGATGATGGCAGTGGTGGTGGTTCTTTTGTCATCAGGGGCACATTCTTAAACCTCACATGAGGCTCTTCTACCACCAGTTATTTCTTTTGTATAGGACACACAAGCTGTATGTCAGATGCTTGGAGACAGAAAAAAGAAATGAGGAATCACTGGTTTACAATCATTAGCCTTGATTTCCCTTCTATTCCTGGCACATGAGACATAATACTGGCTCCATTTTTTTGTTTGTTTGTTTGTTTCTAGTCCATGTTACTGATATTGAGAATAATCATGATGGATTTGTGGTGGGGTTGGTTAGAATCTTTCCCTGTCACTGAATTTGATAGTATGGTGAAGGACCATGGTTTTAACAGAGGGCACAAATTACTATGTCCCAGCATACTTTTTGCTGTTTTAACATGTTCATTCTTATGCTTCTTGATTTTTTTAAGCACCTTGCTCAAACTGGCATCATAGTGACTATAGATGGGGCTGTTCTGTTATAGCTGGTGGCTGATAAAGACCATCCAGAATTCAGAGAAATTCAAAATCTAGTTAAGCCAAGGGCTTCAGTACCTGGTCTACTTTCCAAAGTATAGGACATTCAAAGGACTAGTGAATTGGTATGCTATTCACCATCAGGTGACAAGACTGTAACCAGACAAGTTCTTGTCTCTATTAAAATTAAGAAGTTAGTCAAAACTGGCTCTTTTTATGCGCCTCTTAATAAAACTCAACCAGTTAGGCCGTTTGGGTACCAGCATTTAGTTAGAAATGTCAAAGGCTTCAGGTGCTACTTGCCTTCTTTTTTTGTTAGTGTGCTTTTGTTTATTAAGAAATATAGCAGTGGAGGTACCTGTTTTGTCCAGATTGCATAGACATGACATTGATCATAACTTTCAAAAGAGCACACACACTCTTGTGATGTTTTCTTAAATCGTGCACTGTAAAGAAAAAGATGTATGGAAAATGATATGTTATAATATTAATGCAGATACAGTGCTTTTATTTTACAGGTGATTGAAATAGGATTATTATATGAAAATGTAAAAACAGAACTCTGCTTGATGTTACCCTTTCCTTTACAAGGCAGTCAACTTACTCACTGAGTGAGTTGCATTGATCTAACTGGAGGAAATTATGTTGAATAATTATGTATCTTTCTTGATTATGCTAATTTTCTTATTCTGGTTACCATCACTAATTCACTGTTAAAGTTCTCTTTTTCAGCTAAATCTTTTACCTAGAAAGACTCATTGGATCATTGCTTGTTTTAAATTTGTAAACAGATGAGGTGATTTGCAATACCATACAATTACTGGAGGGCTGTTTTAAAATCTTCGAAGTATTACTTTAGCTGGATATCTTTATAGCCATCTTGAATGTATCTTCTAATAGGCACAAGATTTAGCAAAAAGAGAAAGTCTGGATAAAATGTACTTTTAGAATGTCCATGTTTCTGTTTGGTTTTTTCTCCACCTACCCT